TTTAAAAAGTTAAAAATTTTTTACATACGACCCATCATTTTTTGGTAAATAACCTTTAGTCTCTTTCAAAAAAATGGCTTTTTTGACAGAAACCAACCGCTTTGTACACTTTTGCTTTCAAATCTGTTACTCTTTATAATTATTGGTAAATGTCACACAAATAATGTATTTTTCAGATAACTTTAGTTTGATACAACATGCTCTTATATTTCAGAATTCTGAAATAATATACGCTATAATACGCTACAGAGTTTTTGAAAATAACGTTTTAAATGATTATGCATACCGCTTAGAATTTTGTGAAGTTATACACTGATAATTAGTTGTACTAAATCTGTGTAAAGTGTATTTGCTAATGGAATTTTGACTATACTTTAAAACTTTCTATTTTTTTGGAGGGGGGATTATTTCAATCACTTTCTGTTGAACAATTAATTGAACAATTAATGGGGGATTAAACCTGTAACTTGCTTTTGTACCTAGTTTATTCTTTCTAATAACTATTATTTCAAACGTTGACTTTTTCATTTGAAAATTAGTTTATTGTTTTTAATAACAACTATTTCAAAAACTTGACTTAACAAAGTAGGAGTCAACAAAGATTTTACAGTACAATGAGAAGATGAAGGTTATTAGGAATATGTGGTGTATTTGCGCAATATAGTTTGGATAATCTGATCGCACACATACTTGTTAAGACATTATATATGAAAGAATGAAATGCCAAACGGATAACTATAGAGGTAAGTAGAAACAAAGATAATAATGAAGTACACAAAAACAGTTTAAAAATCCTACTGGATCATAAATCAGTATTACAAGGATTGGTTAATGTTAAGAACAGATTTTTTTGAACATACAAAAGGGATTTCAGTTTTTGTGTAGTCGTGGTTTTAATAAACCTTGGTATATGCCCTTCAAAAATTTTGTACAAAACTACGAAGGCTGACTTGATATCAACCTTATGAACAGTCTTAATCAAATGTTTCACAATGGAGGAAGATATTGTCCTATCCTGCTTTTGTAGCCATCTAAGTATGTATGTGATACAATCATCTACATGATGTTTGGGCCTTTTGACGAAACATAGACCTTGATTTTTCGATAATATCTTTTCTGACATCCAAAAAATGAGTCCATATTACCTTACCATTGAGATGTGAGTCAAGTAGTTTTATGTGGAATCAAATACTTAACTTAGCTAGGACGTTTTATGTAACTAAACTTGTCATCATCGCAAAGTTAAGATCTATTTTACCTTCTATTCTTTTATAGTGTCTTAATAAGTATATGCGCGATTAGATTATTTGTAATGTATTGCGCAACTATAACACATAATTCCGATAACCTTCGTCTTGTCTATCGTGATGGATCAATCAGGCTATACTGGCCGAAACAACCGCTACTCAAGGTCCTACCATGCTAGACAGGTCGGTTGAATAGCGGTAAGACTAAAGGGAACAAACCCAAATTCCAAGGGCAAAATCGTACTGCTGACTGTACAGAGGTGTGACAGCAGTAAGGTGTTTCTTTTCGACAACCAGCATAACGACGATGCTGCCTTCCCACAAAGAGGGGTGGAGTTAGGAAAGGTCGACCTTAAAAATGTATACCTCGCTTTATCTTGCGGATATCCGTCTTCAACAATAAGATACGGGACTAACACAAAACTTACCCACAAAAAGGTTGTGTGTGACCGGCCTCGAGCAGTTGTCCCTTGGGAACTGAAGTCAAGCTCTCCGATCACTAAGACCACCTCCAGTTCAATTTCCTTTTCAGGTACCTCCGGAAGAACCCTTCCAAGGTGTAGTCGATCGGGAAGTGATGACTACCCTCATACCTCTAACATCACTCAAGACCACTGTATTCATATTCAATCTACTTCTTCAAACCCCGTTATTACTCCTACCTCGACTGTTAACTCTAAACTTCCTCCTCAAGTGTCACCATAACCAACGATCCTAGTGAGCAAAATATTGTCCCAGGTCTACCAAAACCTCTCTCCAAACTGCACATTGAGGCTTTTAACTTACCCACCCTATATCAAATCGGCCAACAGGCACCCTTGGCCAAAACCTTAGAATCTCGCACCACTGATGTATTCTGTGTCTCCAAAACACCCACACAGGATCTTAGTGTGGGCATTCGTTTAGCCTCACCTCGCCAAAATGAAGAGCCGATGAGTTACACTCTCCGTATATCTGGCGAACCGAAAGAAAGTTATCATGGACTGGAGGATGAAGGCATAACATTAAGCATAAGAGCAGAGGAGCATTACTAGAATAGATCGCCGTTAAAAGTCGCCAATGTGCTGTATGACTGCGTATAAACTCGGAAGGATGGGAACACACATCGTTTCCTTCTCGTCGTTTCTGCCCACATTCTCACGTGTTGCAGCCCAGATGAAGTGGAAGACGAACTTTACAGAAAACTTTCTGTGCTTCTCGTACTCGCAACAGGTGACTATACTGCCCAAGTAGGTGGCTTAAGTCAAACGGAAAGACGTTCATGTGGATATTTTGGTAGTCCGGCTTAGCGAGCTGATAGTCATGACCGTCTGCTGCAACTGTGCTTAGACAATCGTTTGTTTTTAATAAGCATTAATTTTAGGCATAAAAAGGGACATCGTTTAACATGGCGACCTCCTGCATCAAAATAACGATGGACCCAAATATATCATATTGCTATCAGTCATCTTCGGAGAGGCTCGGTAAAAGACTGCCGCTTGTTTTGGAGTATATGTTTAGATTCTGATCATGCTCTTATACGAGCACGGGTTTTCTTGTGTCTCACTAGACACAGAAAGACCACATTGGGAAGATTAGTTAGAATTGAATTCATTGGTGAGAAAGCCAAAGTAGATTTCAGGAACAACTGAGGTCACATTAAGGTAGCTTTTAAAACGAGACTGATGTTGCTTGGAAAGATATCCAAACATCTGTGGAAATAGCAGTGACATCTATCAGTGATTTAAACCAAATGGTTGCAAAAACTAATAGGTTTGTTCTAAGTCTATTGCACCGACGGACTATCGTAAACTTATCCCATCAGGCTCTAAACACGATGAAAAGCGAAAGCTAAATCAGAACTAGATTAATCAAAAGTCTAAGGAGCGACCGTGAGCAGTGGTGGGTAATAAAAGCAAAAGAGATGGGAAAGGCGGCGTCTGTAGGTGATACAAGACAGCTCTTCAGACTAATAAAAGAAACTGGAATTAATAAGTCAAGTGCAAGTAATACTATCTCGGAAAAAGAAGATACTCATATCTACTCTCAGATTAGACGTCTAGAACGATGGGCGAAACACTTTAGAAAGCAGGTTAGCTGGCCCTCAGCTAACCATCATTCCCAAACAACCTGAATGGAACATTGAAGTTGGTCTCCCGACTTTAGCTAAAGTTTAAAAGGCTATAGCTAATCCGAAAGGAGGAAAAGCAGCTGGTCCAGATAGATTAACTCTAGAAGGCTATAGAAATGGTGATCCAGTTTTAGCGATTAGATTGACTAGTATTTTAGTTAAAATCTGGGAATTGAATGTAATCCCATCTTACTGGTCGCAATCACTAATCGTCCCAATCTATATGAACGGATCAGAATTATTCTGTGATAACCATAGAGGGATTAGTTCAACTCATATAGCATCTAAAACACTAGCCTCAATAGTTATCAGACGCCTAACAAAGACTCGTGAACTGCAAACACGAGACATGGTCCAGAATGGATCACAGTGGAATAGGTTTATGCACTCTTTGTTTTTCCTTAAACCGTGAGATTCAAAATACTTTATGCCTTTCTTTCCACTAACTGATTATCTTTCCCTGTATTATATCCTCATATAAAATCTTCATTTTTAATACAATTAAAGCAACTACTTCTATGAATTGGTGTTCATTTTGTTGTGAGGTGTGACAACTTGAACCGATGAATATATGTGCCTGGTTCTACGTTGTAGATGACTGACTGAAAGAATCTATTTAACTCTTAAGTGCACAAAAAATCTTCAGTCAGTTGCTATGTTAAGGTTTAAAGAATATAAAATAACCACTTTACTCGATGGATTTAAAAGTAGTGACTTAAAATTGCTGATAAAATCCGACAAAATAGTCAAATGTCATTTAAATAGATAAACTGGAAACCACATTTTTAAATTGTGGTCATGATTGTTTGCACGTAATTACAAAAACGAAAACCTTCACTTACATAAATGAAAAAAAGATATTTGAGTTTTCAACAAACATTATTTTCCCAAAATCGTAGTATTCACTACTTCTAAGGTCTTGAAACAAATAGAAAAATTAAAAATTTCAGTACCTCCTTTATATCTGGAAGGCATCAATCTGGTTATCACGAAAGTGATATTCAACAAAACTATATATAGTACGAACATGGCAAACATTAAAGTCGAGAGATTTTTGAAACCTATTTTCAAACATTTCATTAAATGAAAATAAAATAATTGATAAATATGATACCGTAATAGAGATCCTCAAAAATACCATCGTCAGCTTTTATAGATTACTGCAATCCTATATTTGCCGTCATAACTGTCAGTATGAAGTCCAGATTTTTCACTTCGATAATATAAATAAGGAAACACAGAATTAAGCATTTAACTTCTGAATATTACAAATACTCAATAGTATTTTCCAGACTACGAACTAAAAACTATACACGTGAAAACTATCCCGAGTATCGATACTTGTATGAATACATTCAGTTTTCATAGTATGTAAAAGTAATATAACTTGGAGGCACGATAACAACAACAGTATTTGAAAGTGTGCCGACAACTCCAGTGATCACTAACAACGGTAAAAGGTCAGTATGTTATTGATTATTTTCGAATTTTCAAACATTTTCAAAGATGGAAGTTGCAAAATATTTCAAGTAATATGCATCACATTATGAGACTCAACTTTAAGTACCAATTCAAAGTGATGCAGCACAAGTGTTCTCCATTTCTCAGTCCGATGTAACTCAGAATCTTGTCGATTGTCAGCAATGGGTGCAAGAACTCTGCGATTGCCTATCATTACTGACATCAAACACAAAGGGATGCATTTTATTATTATGGATTCTCCTTCGAAAACGAATGTGCCTTATTTTGTGGAGGTATTTGTATAATCGACGTATCATTAATTTTCTCTCGATAGGAATGTTCGAAGCTTAACGTATCTGATGTCGTTCGTGTATGTGAAGATCGTTACCCTGTGGAGCCTTTTGAAAATGCTGGGATATGTGTACATGTATGTTCTCAAATATCCTTAGTCTTGTAATTATCGAAAAGTCACTGTAGAACATCAAGCGTATTCACTCTTTACACTTTTAAATGCGAGTTCAAGCCAGTATATCAATTTGAAGCCGCTCCAGTTTATCGTATCATGCGAGGAATTAACTAGTTTCTATATGCGTCTTTGCTTTGGTTAGGGCACTCGGGCAATATCACAGCCCTCACGCAAACTAATGATAACTGCTACTGGCCTCATTGTTATTATGTGGAAAATATGTGTTCGGTACGCCCTTTCGCATTGATTTTATGAGTGAGACTTAGATACTTTATTCACTAACTAGAATGAGAAATACTTAGGAAAAAGCGTTCTCCTGTTAGAATTTCATTCGTCTTCCATTTACCCGAAGCTGTATATTCATTGTGTTTAAAGATTATCTTGCTTCATAAGCGGAAAGTAGTAGTTGGTACATCTGTTCAGTTTCATTCATTTGTCTAAATGTGATAAGGTCCAATCTATTGAGATATGCCAGCTGACGATTTTTGCCTGACTTCGATTTAGCACTAGGTTTTGCGACCGTTGATAAAATGTCAGGTTTCAGTACGTTTCTTTGTTCATCCCTCCCCTTTAGTTTTCATGTGCAATACTATTCCATGCTTCTTATGCTGTGAATCTGTCTCTTATCGAACTCCATATTATCTGTGTTCAATTGTTTTTACTATTCGTGATGCTACCTCTACTTTGCTACCCAGTTTTAGTCATTTCAACTCGCCCTTCCGATGCGTGGGGGCGTGAACCGATCCACATGTGTACCGGCTCGTACGATAGCTATGGTTAAGGGGTTAATACTGTAGATAGTTCCTTCCAGTTAAACATTAGGTAGCTAAAACATCTGCCTAACAATTCTACGTATTAGGTGATGTATCTTATATGCCGAAATCATATTAGAGTAGAAGACTTTTGATAGGAGTATGCACCGATCCGTGAGTTATCTGGAGACATTCAGTTTTTAAGGTCTTGAATAATAACGTGTCTGTAAAAAAAACCTAGTCCCATTAATGCACCCATGTTATGCAAAATTATAGTAGTATCTAAACCTTTTAAATCGAGTTATTCTTTATATATCCCAGCTTCAGATTTTTCAATTGGTTTCTTTGTAAACCATTGTAGCTGTAACTGGAATATGACATATAATACGTTACTATCTTAAGGAAAATAATAGTCTCTGTTAAAGTTATCAAACAATGTATTCAAACATGCACACTCGCATGATGATTAACGTAAAAGTTTATTCATTTTTCTGCATTTATTTAATTTTACAATCACTCAGTTTTAAGGCTTGGACCATTTTACTTTATGTTCTACATCTCAAAAATCTAGGTTTCTGTTGTAGAGAGCAACTATTTGTTTCCCCATATACGAAAGTTTTACTTATTATATCCTTAATCACAGCTTTATGTTGTCCTCTCTCTGATTCTATCGAAAAAAATATTAGCATTGGGAATTCAGTGATGGTTCGCCTCCACCAGAGAATATTCTCACAGAATGGTTCACTCTCCTCCGAAATCGATTCTATGGGGAAAATAATAGCACTCATGATGATCAAAACCACCTGGTACCTGGGCCAATCGCTGTTCATTGTATAGCTGGATATGGAAGGTGAGGTTCGCTATCTATTTCTTTAAGCCACTGATATTCATTTAGTTTTTATACATATATTTTTGTGTTTGCGGCTTTTCGCAAAAGAACAGGCGTCAAACAACTTACATTTTCCCTGATATTCATTTTCCTGCACATGATGACAAGTCTTTTTATCAATCATTAGCAAAACCGCTTCTAACCTAAACTTACTTGAATTGTTATTTATTCAACCGTTGATATGGTTTGTGATAAAAGCGACTCATCTAACAACGCTTCGAACTATAATACGAAAGCTTCCCTTCTCCCCAAAACGTCTACTACTCCAAAACACATCTAGTATAGACCTCCGAAAAATCCAAAATATATTAAGTTCACTCAACTACATACCGATTCAATTCAGTGATTGATATTTACGAAAATTATTAAACTAAACAACTGTCACTTGGACACGAAATCAGAGAGAGTTAATTAATGTGATAAAACCCAGTGAAAATTAACTAGGTTAAGATCACATTCAAAACCAGTGAAAATCTCACTCAATTTTTCTATAATAAATTAAATTTGGGGAGTTTTGTTCCTCTGCATATCAAATACTTATAAATCATTTGATTGACTTTTTTCCCAAGGCTTTTTATCTTGCTCTAATCTCAGTCAATAACTTATTGCTTTTGGGTTTATTAAGTTCTTTAGACATCTTATTCGTTTTCTTTCAACTTGTTATAGTGGACAAATATTGTTGCAGCAACCACGTGAATATTTATGTAATAGGATGTCAGCCTCTCATTTTATGCAAACTGTTGGTAATACTAGTTACACAAACAATATATAAAGCTGTTTTTTAAACCCTTGACTTACTGATCGAAGGTCATACGTCTAAACCGTTAAATCAAACCTGAATCTAGACGTACGGTTGTAGTTAAGTAAGGTTCTGTGCCTTGTTCATGGAATTGGCTTTTAACTAGTACGGAACAGGCTTGGACCGCACCCCGATTACTTTGGCTTGGGCACCCGAATAGGCTTTGATAGCTGATAAAGCTATCTCTTGGTTTCGTGCGCTGTTACGGGTACGAAATCAAGAGATACAGAAGGCTCGACTAGCTTTTGCTAACTTGCGTCATTTATGGCGTAGGCGAGATATCCGTCTATCAACCAAAGGACGGGTTTACTGCGCAGCAGTTCGTTCCGCCCTACTTTATGGAAGTGAAATATGGCTGGTAAGAGTAGAGGATATTCGTAGACTACTAGTATTTGATCATAGGTGTCTTCGAAATATTGCTCGTATATCCTGGGACCATCGAGTAAGTAACTCAGTTGTTAGGAAACGGGTACTAGGTAAGGATGGCAAATCAATTGAAGTAGTGAAACTTCATCAGTTGAGATGGCTGGGACACGTGTTACGTATGCCCAACGACCGACTGCCTCGACGTGCGATGTTCAGTGGTATAGGAGTAGGTTGGAAGAAAGCTAGGGGCGGCCAGACCAAAACATGGCACAAGTCCATGAAGTCACTGACAAGTGGACTGAGTCATGTCGGTAGGTGTAGACTACCTGGTTGGGGACCGGTAGATGATAGCAACCGATGGTTAGAGACCTTGAATGACATGGTTCAAAATCGTTTGCAATAGCACAGGTGCATCCACTCTTTGTGTTCTCCCAAATTTTGATCTCCTGATTCCCCCTTGTCTTTTTTTTCTCTTCCCAAACTTGTTTCACTGTATTATACTCTTTAAGTAACATCTCCAAACACTAATCTTTCCGATAACTGCTTATACTCTTATTACCTCTACCACTGTGGGATTTGAATCGACCACTGCATCTGTGTGCTAATGGGGTGTGGCAACTCGAACTGATGTACGTACGTACGAAGTTCTACGTTGTTACTGACTGAAAGCTATCTCTATAAACCTATGGATCTGCTCATATTAGTGGACCGGAATGACCTAACCGTAGCTGATGAATAGGAGGTATAAATATAAGACAAGAAAAGTTGTTATAGAAAGGGGCTGTAGGAAGACCCAATCGGCTAGTCACTAATCAACTACATAACATGATTAAACGGACAGGCATCAGTGAAATAGAGCCTGTTACATATGTTCATTTGCCCAAGTTACCATACCTGATTAACACGACGAGATAAAAATAATAAGAGATCGAAATAACGTAGTAGTAATGAAAATCAGAAGGACTAAATCTTGGGGACATGTTATGAAAAGACTGAAAAGATGTACGGTGTACTGAAGTCCAAAATCTAGAATAAGATAAAGAATGAACGCGTCTATGGCATTTTGGACGATTCTGAGCCATGTCACTCAAAATCTCCAACTACTGATCACTCACCAATAATCTATGATTTCATGAACTGACGATACATTTTCGTATGGCTACTCCTAGCTTTCTTACAACCTACTTCTATATTAGCAAGCATTAGTCATCAAGGCAGAAGCTGGTTGGACGTGCGTAACACAGATTTCAAATTGCCAACTTCTAAAGGAAGCCTCATACTCTGAAATTTTGCATTCAGTGAAAAGTGCTCAGTTGATGAAATTCTACAGTTAATTATCAATACATAATTTAAATAAGTAATGTGATTCTTCTAGCGCCTCTATCAAGAAAGCTTGTATACAACTTAGACTTTTCACTCTAATTAGCGACAATGTAGAAAAAGATAGTAGTAGTCTCATTCATCGTGTTGAATTCGTAGTTGCGAAATAATAGCTTAGTGCACAAACTTATCATAGTCCTGTTATAATTTTCGGCTACATTCCCCACAAAGGGAGATTAACTCTATCAACTGAAATGTGTCTTTCTTGGCTGTATCTTATTTGATACTAGCATTGTCCATCTATTGACAACTTTTATGATTTCCTTTTATTTCGCAGTATTATTACTTCATTTATAAGGCGAATTTTTACCGTTCTATTTTACCAGAATTTGTTCTTTAAATGATAAACAATTAATAGGACCGAAGCTTATGGTCATCTGGATTGGGAAAAGCAAGTGATGTTCATCAGAGCTCCTCACTTTCCCCATTTTTATATCTTTTTCTGTAGACATTTTCTTGGGGCTAATGTCCCCCTCTAACTTCGCAGGGGTTAATTTCCTGTCAGGAGAGTAGGGAGATAATGGTTTTGTTTGTTTAGGATGTTGACAAAATACTGTCTTCTGAGTCATTTGAATGACAATCTAGCCATTGCTTGGCATAAGTTTCTCTCCCTAATCATTAAGTGTTGCTCGGTGATTGGTTTGTGATAATTCCTAACTTTGCCATACAGAGTAAAGTAGTTAAGCTCGTTAACCAGCTATAGTGACTAGGTGTCCCACTAATTCCCGGAACAGATTTACAAACCTTGGCCTTTGTCAATTATGTTGTAAGTGATATTTCCGTATGCCAACCAAAGAAGGATTCTAGTGCGCAACAGGTCATCTTGCGTTCCTGGATAGCTGTGAATTTCAACCTATGTGAGTGAAAGCTATGTATGTGCCAAGCACTAGGCTTCTTCTAAGTTGTCCACATATGATTGTGCCACAATGGGTGTTACTGGAATTAGATGTAACGTGCTGGATGGGATGGAGTGGTCGAGACTTATGTTACATGTGTCTTATCACTACCTAACTTGGCATGATTCTGGCTGGCTTAGAGGTAGGTTAGATAAAAGCTAGGGATGTGCAGATTGACACGGTATCAATTCATGAAGTGATTTACTTCTGATATGATCCACATTTTCCTTCCTCAACCCCACTTCTTCCAAACCGTACCTCTCATGTTTCGATGTCCATTACAGTTGTAATTCGTCCTTCTCTGTTTCTCTTGTTTATTTCTTTTCTTACTGTGTAACTCTAACGTATAGCAATTTTAACTGATAAACATTCATCCCGGATCCTACTTTAATGATGACTGACACCTCATTGTTGTGCAAATCATTTTGCTCTACAATATTTGCTCGTTTCTGTCGTAACACTCTCCAGAAGTTCTTGTTACGACTGTAGAGTTTCACGAAAATCCGGCTTTCCATTCTATACAACCCGACTGGATTATGAACACGGCAGATTTGAATTGTCACATTAAGGTTAATGATTGTCAATTACTCGTATAGTTAAGTTTATGAGAGCAGACAGACCTGTCTTTATTTAATAATTTTTGAATTGTTGACCTTAAGGTTCTTTGCTCGAACGCTATGAACTTGTAAACGTTTTGTCACATTTTCAGCTAGCACTATCGATATTTCTCATTTCATATTCATACTTTATAACCTCATGCTGCATATTTAATGAGGGATATAACTTGTCTTTCTGAATATCATATATATATATATATATAAAGCTGTAAATAAAATAATTGGTTACTAAGTTCTCGTTTGACCTTAACCTAGTCAAGATTTGTTAGTTTTTCGTCCTCCGTTAAATACTTATTCTGAATAGACGTTGGTATTTAAACATAGTTTTAGAGATATTTGGGTTAGGTATTTCCAACATCGATCTTTCTTCACAATGTTTTATGTTCGTGTGATGACTTGTATACAAACATTTCCGGTCATTACTGTGAATCCTGTGATACATTTGCCATAGGTGTGATTCTCTCTCTCCCATACAAATATACACACGTATATTACGCTTAGTGTTTGGTTATCCATTCTAGTGCTCTCAGTGAATAATTTAAATATAAATGACTTATTTTTCTGCATTTTGGGATTTCTTTGGATGAAATTTGCCCTGGTTTGATGATAAAATTTGGAAAAATTCAAAGTAACGTGTTAGTTGCAGTATTAAATCGTTTAAACAGTAATCATCTAGTTTTGTCCATTAAGTCAACCATGAACGATAGCAGTTCATGCTAAGAAATATCCTACCTAACCTCGTAAGTATCAGGTAAACAACTAATTCTATATATTTCTCTAGTCAAAGAGAAGTTCTTACAGTAGGTAGGCATCTTGTCTGTAACCGAACTCGTCTTTCCTGCTGAAAATATACCCCCATTATACTAGGTAGTTCTAGTTACTTATTACTGCAATGGCTAACATCGCAATTTTGAAAAGTGAACATTAATTCATTTTGGGTTGAAAACATATATCTAACGGGGTACAACGCTGTTACCCAGTGTTTTTTCGTGTCCTTTTTTGAAAAAATGGAAGCTTCGTTGTCAATTTTCTTCAAGAAGTTGGATTCTCTAACCCACTAAATATTTCTGTTCCTTTTTTTCTCTATCTTCCTCATCTACCGGAAATCGTTCCCTTATTTGGCTCCTTGTTTAAAAGGACAGGATATATATATATATATATTATATAGGTTGGCAAAATGTTTTTAATAATGATATGAATAAGAAAAAAATAACTCTTGTCCTTATAAATAAGTAACCAAACAAAGAACAAAGGATTAAACAGCTTCCTGTTTTACGGAGATTGTTTAACTAATGCTCACATATCTACCATACTAACGAAGTTATTGGCTGTCTAAGCGAAGTTTAATAACCGTAAACTACTCATTTGAGATCCGCGTGATAACTGCAATCAGTTGTTTGAGATGTTAGATTATATGGCTTAGTATCAACCACAGATATTGATCCTGGCCGCATTTCCCTTTATAATTATTTTTGAAATGCATTTTATTTCTGGCTTCCTGAAAAACAAACTTTCCTTAAGAAATTTCAAAATCACATCCGAATTCAGAATTATTTAACTAACAGATGGTAGTGATTTACCATTATTGATTTTTCAGGAAAATGTAAGTTTATTTGGTTTCATTGTAGTGATAAAAGGAATTCAGTTTTAGAGTTATTTGTGTATTTAGCTTAAAACCTATCTGTAATACGTATTGTTTGCTTGAATCATTTTAAAACTATATATATCGTTTTACTCAATAGAATCGTTTGTATAGTGGCTTGACTAAACTGTGTGAGCCTTTTGTATTTTTTTAAACTGAAATATTTAAGGGCTCCGGTCCTGGTAGCTGTTGCGTTAATGGAACTTGGAATGTCCAGTGAAGATGCGATAGAATTGATTCGCAGGTACTTCATTATGATGAATATTAGTAACTATTAATATTTGTTAACGTATATTCATATTTTAATAAAATCCAATTACAATTTTCACATTTACATTAATTCTACATTGTATACAACATTTGTAAACTTGATTAATAGTTGTTATTTAGCCTGTCTCATAAGGTAATTACCGCCATTAAATTATACCATAATTTATACAATTTATCGGTTCGTACATTAATAACTTTGCCAGATAGCTCTGTTTGGTGCACATAAACTACTGTTTATATTCATTTAATTAATAACAAAATGAATGTCAACATTCTACATACATTAGACTTTACGACGAAATAAATTAATATTGTATTGATTGTATTACTGATAACCAGATACATTTATAACAATAATGTAGAACAAATATTGTTTTAAATCCGGAAAGTGTGTCGTCAGTCAAGCACTAAGCTGGTAGTCAAAAGAGACCATATATTAACTAATTAATGTTTTAAAAATTCTTGCCAAATAACCAATCAATGTTTGTCACTAAACTGTTGTGTATCTTCAAAACAGTGACCACCATTTTTCCTTCTCGCAGTTTCATTTTAATAATCGAATATTTTACTCGTCGGTTCTGCAAATCAATAGCACTATGTCACTATGCTTTACAGTAAATGACGTTTTCGCTGTTGTTGTATGAATCCTATTTTTGTTTACGATTAATCCTTTACAGCTTATTTTGGTTCCACAATAGTAGTTGGTGACTGACTTTTTGTCGAACATCTCTTAAATTTTCTGTCTTATTTATAACAACATTTACTGTATTAAAATCTAGTTGAAGTTGAAACCGCCAGTTGTTTAAATTCCGAACTTATCGGTTGAACACGAAATTTCCTCTCTATTCAATAAAAAAAAAGATCAAATGATTTTAATGTGGATGTGTTCAAAAAATATTATAAAATTCTTCATTGGGATCTTATTTTTCTAACCTGTCAGTTAACTAGAAACTACTGTCAAAAATCACCTGATCCTTTTTACTGTATTTTATTCAACATACAATCAAATTAGTATATTCACAAATTATATTGTGTAATAGAATTTTTTTTCAAAGATGATCAACTTGTTTTTCTTCTTAGTATCTAATGTTTAATGATATGATGAATGACCAAATTGTGACCTTTCTACACAGTATTTTATTTATTGATTTATTTCAACACATAGATATTGGTACAAATAGGCACCAAATACATATGCGCCACACAAATCTCATTCGATATGTGTGAGGGCTGTGATACTGCCCGGGTGCCCAGACCGAAGCAGGTGGTTTTCTTAGGGAGCCACACCCCGAGCCTTTGACCTAAAGGTCTAACCCCCAAGGCAGTGGAGCATCGTAAGGACATGCAGTCCCATGGTAGCCAGTGACCGAAAATTGGTTCATACCCCGTTTGTTCCTTCAGGATACTGGAGCCCACGTGCACCATTGGTTTGGGATCCGGTTAAAGCGCCGGACATTCGCTTTTCGTCCTCTCATTTTCGTAAAGAACACCCCCGCCACGAGAAGGCATTGAGTAGGACTTCCGTGGCAGAGGCTATATACGCGTGGCCATGTGAGAGCATTTCGAGAGTGAGAGCGGACTTTCCCCACTCTTGGCTGTACCAGGACATTTGCCCGACCGAAGCTGCTACCTTGACGTGGTGGTCGGGCTTGCCTATCGTGATGACCCATCCGAGCTATATTGGCTGGAACATATGTTCCTGTAGGTTCTACCATGCCAGGCAGGTCGATTGGTGAACGGTAAGACTAAAAGCAGCAACTCAAAGTCTGAGGGCGAAGTCGTACTGCTGACTGTACAGAGGTGTGACAGCAGTAAGGTGTTTCCTTCGGACAATCAGCATGACAGCGATGCTGCCTTCCCACAAGGAGGGGTGGGGTTAGAAAAGGTCGACCCTAAAAATGTCACACCTCACCTTACCTCACGGATTTCCGTCTCCGGCGGTAAGGCCATCTGAAGAACGGAGCTAACACGTCAAAAACCTTCTACAAAAAGGCCGTGCGCGACCGGCCTCAAGCAGTTGTCCCTTGGGCTCTGCGGTCACGCTCCCAGGTCGTTAAGACCAACACTAATCCAATTTCCTTTTCAGGTTCCTCAAGAAATACCCTTCCACGGTGTGGGCAGCCGGGAAGTGACATCAGCCCTCATACCCGTAACAGCACGCGAGACCAAGTTGGTCACATTCAAATCCTTCCTACACCTTCTAATACCTCTCTTATCTCCATGACTAACCCTCCTCACGTCTCTTTATCACCTCGCACCGCTAGGGCAAACGATTCGAGTACGTGGAACGCTATTCCTGGTCTCCTCAAACCACGCTCTAAACTACACGTAGGAGCTTTTAACGTCCGAACACTGTGCCAAATAGGACAGCAGGCTTCCTTAGCTAGAACTTTAGAATCTTACGCCATCGATGTGTGTTGCGTCTCCGAAACGCGCATACAGGATCCAAGTAGCATCTTTCATTTGACCTCACCATGCCAAAATAAAGAACCGACTCGATTTACGCTTCGTGTATCTGGAAGCCCTGATTCTGCTTCCCGTGGCCTCGCCGGCGTAGGTATAGCATTGAGTCCTAGGGCAGAACTAGCTCTCTTAGAGTGGATCCCAGTAGACAGTCGTTTGTGCGCTGTCCGACTGAACGGAACAGTAAGAATCCGGAAAGATAGGGACACTCGTCGTTGCCTCTTCGTCGTCTCTGCCTATTCTCCCACTGACTGCAGCTCAGATGATGTAAAAGATGAGTTTTACAGAAAGCTTTCGGACCTTCTCCGAAAAGCTAAGCGCTCGGATGTAGTAATAGTGGCCGGTGACTTTAATGCTCAAGTAGGTAAACTAAGCGATAGGGAAAGACACCTAAGTGGATCTTATAGTATAGTGGCTCAAAGAACAGATAATGGCGACCGTCTGTTGCAGCTATGCTCAGATAATCGCCTGTTCCTTGCAAATACTAACTTTAAGCATAAGGAAAAACATCTTTTAACATGGCGACCCCCTAATTCGTCCCAACGTTGGACCCAAATAGATCACATCGCTATCAGCCACCGATGGAGGGGCTCGATAGAAGACTGTCGCTCATTCTGGAGCACATGCCTAGATTCAGATCATGCTCTAGTACGAGCGCGTATTTGCCTGCGTCTTACTGGACGTAGGAAAACCGCTGCAAGGAAACCTCTTAGGGGCCTACTTAATGATAGTCAAGCTAAGAGTATATTTCAGGAACAACTAGGAAAACAGTTAGGCAGCCATGTATGTGATGCCCACCCCGAGGCAGCATGGAATGATATCCGAAAAGCTGTGGAAACAGCAACGATATCTGTTAGTAAGGTAAACCAGAAGGTTAGGGAGCAACACTGGATCTCAGCAGCATCTATCGCACTGATAGATGCTCGGAAACTCATTCCACCTGGCTCTGAACATAGTGAAGAGCGGAGTCAGCTTAAGCGCAAACTGACAAGAAGTCTACGCAATGATCGCGAACAGTGGTGGGTAGCGAAAGCAAGAGAGATGGAAAAGGCAACGGCAATAGGTAATAGCAGACAATTGTTCAGACTCGTTAAGGAAACCGGAATTAGGAACCCGACTGTTAGCGAAACAATCTCAGAGAAAGATGGACATATTATTCATTCTCAATCCAGGAGATTGGATCGATGGGCAGAACACTTTAGGGATCAGTTCAACTGGCCTTCAGCCACACTTCGGTTTCCCACGATCTCCAGTCAACCTGAATGGCAAGTTAATGTAAGTCCTCCGTCTCTTTATGAAGTTGAAAAAGCCATAGGAAATCTGAAACGAGGGAGAGCAGCAGGCCCTGACAGGTTTACTCCTGAGATTTTTAAGGATGGTGGTCCAGTATTAGCAATGAGATTAACCGAGGTCTTAGGTAGAATTTGGGAACTGGACGTAATCCCATCTGACTGGTCTCAATCACTGATTGTGCCAGTTTATAAGAAAGGACAAAAGTCCTCTTGTGACAATCACAGAGGAATCAGTTTGACTAATATAGTGTCTAAAATATTAGCTAAAATAATACTTCGATGCCTAATCAAAGCTCGTGAAGAGCAGACCCGAGAAAATCAGGCTGGTTTTCGACCTGGACGTGGTTTTATAGATCAGATATTCACACTACGTCAGGTTCTAGAACACAGACACACGTTTAGACGCCCCACAATGGTAGTATTTCTCGACCTTAAGGCGGCATTCGACTCTGTTGATCGTAAGGTTCTATGGCAGTGTTTGTCACTGAAAGGAGTACCAAAGAAGTACATTAACCTTATAAAGGCTCTCTACTCGAACACAACTGGTAGAGTGAGAGCTTATGGCGAACTGTCATCAGAATTGATTACCTCAAGTGGTGTTCGTCAGGGCTGTCCACTCTCCCCATTCTTGTTCAACTTTGTGGTCGACGTACTTTTAGAGATAACACTCTCCTCATCTAAATTTCCGGGGGTTGAACTTCTACCGGGAGGTTCACTTGTTGACTTAGAATATGCAGATGACATAGTTTTATTTGGTGAAGACGCTGACAAAATGCAGAGTCTTCTGACCACTCTAAGCAACAATGCAAGCATGTTCGGGATGCGATTCTCTCCCTCGAAATGCAAAATGTTGCTTCAGGATTGGGTTACATCGACACCCGAACTAGTGATAGGGAGTGAAGTAGTTGAGTGTGTCGACCGCTTCACTTATCTTGGAAGTCTCATCAGCCCTTGTGGTCTGGTGTGTGACGAAATCTCAGCACGGATACAGAAGGCTCGACTAGCTTTTGCCAATTTGCGTCATTTATGGCGTAGGCGAGATATCCGTCTACCAACCAAAGGACGTGTTTACTGCGCAGCAGTTCGTTCCGTCCTACTTTATGGCTGTGAAACATGGCCGGTAAGAGTAGAGGATATTCGTAGGTTACTAGTATTTGATCATAGGTGTCTTCGAAGTATTGCTCGTATATCTTGGGACCATCGAGTAAGTAACGCAACTGTTAGGAAACGGGTACTAGGTAAGGATGGCAAATCAATTGATGAAGTAGTGAAACTTCATCAGTTGAGATGGCTGGGACACGTGTTACGTATGCCCAACCACCGACTACCTCGACGTGCTATATTCAGTGGTATAGGAGTAGGTTGGAAGAAAGCTAGGGGCGGCCAGACCAAAACATGGCACAAATCCATGAAGTCACTGACAAGTGGACTGAGTCATGTTGGTAGGTGTAGACTACCTGGTTGGGGACCGCGAGATGATAGCAACCGATGGTTAGAGACCCTGAATGACATGGCTCAAAATCGATTGCAATGGCGCAGGTGCATCCACTCTCTATGTTCTCCCAAATTCTAATTATCTGAATCCTTCATGCCCCTTTTTTTCCTCTTTCCAAATTTATTTCACTGGATTATACTCGTTAAATAACATCTCCAAACCCTAATCTTCCCGATTACTGCTTATACTCTTGCTACCTCTACCACTACGGGATTTGAATCGACCACTGCATCTCTGTGCTAATGTGGTATGGCAACTCGAACTGATGTACGTACGTACTAAGTTCTACGTTGTTACTGACTGACTGACCAGGACATTTGGGGGCTTTTTTTCTACACAGTAGGTGTTAATATCTGTAATAATAAAAATTTATCCTCCTTCATATAGTTTTAACAATATGAATAAATACGTATAAAAATAAAATTACATAGTATAGTAACACTATTGTGTAGGATACCTCAAAATAATACTGATTAAAGAGAGGAGAATTTATGCGTCAATCTAGAATATACGATCTCGTTTTATGTGTTAAATCTTTATTTATTTATTTTCTAGAATAACCTTGAAATCGGTTAACACATCTAGTATGTGGATTGTTGATTCCAATGAATATGAATTATAGTATTTTATAGTTTTAGTTGTAAATCTATCATATCATACACTTCATTTATGTAAAGCGAATTCTTCCCTTATTAGTTATAAATAAGGATTGACTATATATTAAAATTGAACTATTTTCATCACATATTTATTCTATGACTATTGATATGTCATTTGATTTAACGATATTGTATTTCATTGCTCAAATTTATTCTTTTATCTTCTCCCAGTAAACGTAAAGGTGCGTTTAATGATCGCCAAATTCATTATCTCACTAACTATCATGCGCATTCTCGTTTACGCCGTCACAATCATCGTTGCTTTATTGTATAATATGTATTCATTCAAAGCGTACATACAACATAATATGTACACATCCACTTATCATCGTTTCTAATTCTTTGTGTAATTGCCAACATACAGTGATATTAGTAATGTATTTGTTTCCGTACTAATGATATAACATTTGTTGTCTTATTTCTTAGAGGTACTTATTTACTATTTCCTTTATATATATGTATGTGTCAACCTATTGGCTTTCATTCAGTATGTATACAGCACAATATTAAATTCTTCTCATGTATATGTGTATAATTTTAACCGTGCACTGTTTTGTTACTCTTTGATTTACTACCTATGAAAATTTCACCAATACTTATTTGTATAAGTGATCTTCCTACCACCCCCCTTTCAAAAACAGAGCAATTTTTCGTTAAAGATATATGTCCACTTGTTGAATTCGATTACTTTCATGTCGTTATCTTTGTTATTTTTGATTTGAATTTATCCACCGTGTTCTTTCGTTGCTTGTATGTTTGTTCATTGACTCTAGATATATTTTATATAGCTTATTGATGTTTTGTTCCTATCTATTTCCTGTTTTGTTGTTATCCATGTAGTACCATCATTGAATGATGCTTAAAATCAGTGTTTTTTCTCTTTTCTAGAAATCCTAATATTCTTTTTTTAGTTAGTTTCCTGATTCTTCCCTTTCTTTTTATCTATCTGCGTGTGCCTGTATTTTGCTTAAACTCCATCATCTCAAACTCTGTTGTTGCATTTTAAATTCTCCCCATCAACTTATCAGTATGTGTGTATACTTCTGAATGGTTTGCTAGTCAGTCAATCTTGAAATAAAAATTAACAATAATATATAATTACTTCCTATTGTGTTCATTTTTTCTTGTTGATTGTGTTATGTACGTGCCTTTTATCATGTTTATTACATACTGTTATGTTTTCCTATGTATTTTTTTCCAATTCCACTTTTGTTATCTACGAAAAACGAATTATTGTAACTGAAATATGAATCTCTGCTTTTAGTACATTTGTGCATTTGTTTGTAAATGGATGAGTTTCTGTGCATACTTTTATTAACTTATAGTTGGCTATTAAACATCTGTCCACCTTTTATTCGTAAATTATTACATGATTGTAGTCGATAGTTGTTATTTCACAATGATCCTAGTCGACCCCATGAAGATTGACTGTTTTCTTATCATTGTGTCTCCTCTTTTATACTTTCTCATTAGAATAACTCTCTAAGATTGTCTTTTTATCATGTCTGTATGGATTGTGTTGGAATAATTTGGTTGTATGCACATACAAGCTGCCTGTGTTTCTTCTATTTCCACATTGTGTTTCTTATATACATAGATATCTAGTACGTATTCTGTCTCATAGATTTGAATGTTGAATGATTTTCGTTTTCTGCTTGTTTTGTGTGTTTGTTTAATTGTCCATCTGTTCTAAATTACTGAACCACAACTATCCATGTAATTTTGTGCTTGAATAATGGATTAACTCTGAATAAAAATATATTGGACGTATAAATATCAGTTTTTTGGCATTCATCTCATGTTTTAGTAGTGAAGTAATTTAATAGTCATACAATTTAGTTTCCAAACACGTTCACATGTTTGGATTACACATCTGTCTTAGTACGTCTCTGAGTATCATTAAACTTCACAGAAAATAAGTGACTTAATTGTAGATCTTTTTAATCGGAATCCATTTAGAACCTAGTACACACACTGTAATCAATCCCAGTTACTAAGCTTTACACCAGTCCAGCGAGTGAGGAAATTAACAAGATTGCATTATATCAACTGTTAGCGAAGATTCACATCTCAATTGAATGCTTTTGGGTGTAGTGTTCTGTGAGCCTAATAGTTAAAAAATATATGCAAATATTCAGCAAAAATGAATTATTTATACGTATATTCTTTCTTTTTTCTACATGTTAAACGTAATAGGAAGTATATAGAAGTCAATCATTCATATATATATATCTAAATCAAATATTCAAAAATGAGATAAAACTAACTTGTGATTAGAAAGCAGCTGATGCCATCCAAAAAAATATTGTGTACATGTTTTCACATGACATGGACATTTACTCTTAACTAACTAATAGTTTTTATGTCACCGGGACAAAATTGTTGGACATAGTTTTTTTGAAGGAATATATATATGAATTTCGGCAAAATATGAAACAACTATTATATGCTATTTTATAATATGACTGGTCGATTGACTGAACTACTTATATTGGCAAACACTATAAAAGCGTATAGATAAGTTACTGAGTAATGGCGAGACAAAATCTCTATCGGGAAGCTCGAAATAATTGTGCTTCGACTCTCTGCAAGTAGATCAAAAGTCACCTATAGATGTAGCCTACATTGGCTTCAGCGAGGTTTTTTAAGAGTTCCTCACAACCGATTGTTATAATAAGCTAAGTGATATCTGGATTGGAAGAAATTTATCGATGTACATAAAGGACTTCCTAGTCCGACATCAACAAAGAGTACGAGCGAACTCAAATTTGTTTATCTGGGAAACTATGCTCATCGGAGTGCCTCAGGGTACAGTGCTGTTCCTGTTATGTGTAAATGATGCATATTGGTCACAAAGTACAGATATAAATCTGATGAGTAGCATTAAATTGTCCAGACGTATAATGACCTAGGAGTCAACGTTAGACAAGACCTGAAGACTATTGTACACTGCAGTGCGATGGCCGCCAAAGGTTTTAAAACCCTATGGTCGATACGTAGAGTCATTCGTCATGTCGACGCTAAAACGTTTTTGATTTTGTGTACAGTACCCATGCGTCCAAAACTTGAGTACTACATACAAGCGGCTAGACCCTGATTTAAAGGAGATATCTAGTTACTGGAAAAGTTTCAATGAATCATGACTAAGCTGATTCCTTGAATAGCAAAGTTGCCGTATGATGATCGCTTGGCTAAACTAAGCCTATTTCCACTATTATATAGGAGAATCAGAGGTGACTTGATAAGTTTTTAAATTACTTAGTGATAAACTTGCATCTGCTTTATCTTTATTTTTTTATATTCCAAAGCAGAATTTGTGTGGACGCTCTAAAGACGTTCACAAGCTCAGAACAAATTACTTGTCAGTTAATTATCGACTTTCTTATCAAATCATCAACGAATGGAAATCATTACCGCAACACGTGACTAAAGCTCCATCTGTCGACGCTTTCAAAAGGAATTTCAATCAACTGAAAGACGACTATTGCCAGGAATAACACAGGCCACCTAGCCTCCTGTCCTTTTCAAACTGAAATTGATAATTATTACAAAAATAGTTTCGAAGTATTCAGGATAATGCTGACAAAATAGTAGCATAAGGTAGTATGAAGATTTTAAGAAGGTTCTTATATTTAGACGTTTAGGTTGGTGGGATATCTTGAATAATTTCCGTTAGAATTATTTTAAAGGCAACCAACCTGTACTCTGAGAATTCAACTGTAAACCAAGGGAAAAATATTAAAAGAAATCTCTTCGATAATTATTATCTGATAACTTCATCAAGAAACACCTAGAGTTTAGAAAAATATCATTGTTAGACTTTGCTCCTAAAAAGAATGTGTGGACTGTGAGACAGTGTTATACTGCGTTTTGCTTCAGCTAATTTAATTGCCTCATATAATATGAAAAAATAACTCAGAAAGTCCGACTTAGATACAAGGTACCTCCTCTAATTACATTCAGTTGTATATGGATATAAATTAAGGTTAAATGTGACTGATTCTTTTTTTGATCGTTTAATATTATATATGATCTACCAAGTTAAACACTCCGCCTCAAAGTATTGCGAATCAGAAAATTTTGGATGGCCTAAGCTATACTGATTCATGAAAGCGACATTTATTATCTCTAATCTTGCAGTGGTCCTAATCTTCATTCTAGTTCTCTTGTTACTATTATTATTAGTTTTAGCAGTTACTTACTTACGCCTGTTACTCCCAATGGAGCATAGGCCGCCGACCAGCATTCTCCAACCCACTTTGTCCTGGGCCTTCCTTTCCAGTTCTGTTCATTTTTCTTATGTCTGTCTCTATTTATTGACATCTTTTCATTATTTCTTTATCTTCAGCAAGTGAACAATTATCTTCACACACTTCTCATCTCTAACCGAATTCCTGCTTGTTGTTTCTCACTAATTTTTATGTTGTTATGTGACACTTGGTGTGAAGAATTTTTTATTACTTTGGCACTGACACAATAAGCATTGTTTTATTATAAACCAATGTGTATTAAAGCCGTGTAAATACGATTGTAGGGCTTCAGTAAATGATGTCGTCGAGGAGAACAATATCTTGCCTGAATTATCTTAGTCTACGTATTGGTAGACAAAATAATCGGTCTAATAACGTAGGATACGAACAAAACTCAACTCAAGGTCAAGTCCAATCATACATTCCTCATTTACATTTGTATGTTCCATGTATATCTCCAGAAGATAATCACTTCACTGTAAGATAGAAGATCCAGACACGCCACGTATGGTACGAAGGAATAACTAGTGTGAAGCGTGTGGCTGAGCTATTGTTGAATCTTCCTGTTTAATCTATTCGTAAATCCCCATCCGTTAAATTATCCTTTTTCATTCTCGTTAGGAATTCAGTTAGTTATTTTCAAACTCATGCATCTCGCTGGCTGTTGTTGTTATATGAAAACCTAGGTATCATTTAGTTTATATGATTTTTTTCCATCAGAACTACATGTTGAAAATGTAACAGTTTAGAAAAACTGTCCCTGTCAGCTATGATGAAG